GCTGTCAAGTTGGTTCCGACTCTAAGCAATCCTGTATGTGGTTTCTGAGGAGTTTCTGGTGGGTTTGAACCATTGACCTTGTGGTTCAAACCAACCCTGAGGTCCAACAACAATACCCAGAACCCTGAGTTAAGCATTAGGTTGCTAACTGCAAGGTTGGCAGATCCTATGCCACCAGCTGCTGTGTGGGAGGAAGAGTACCAGTCTGCTGCCATAATGATGTTATTGTTGTTGTTACATGCCATGGAGTCGGTTCTGACCCATAGCGACCCTGTACAGGGTTTCCGAGGCTATAAGTCTTTACGGGAGCAGAAAGCCTCATCTTTCTCCCGCGGAACAGCTGGTAGTTTTGAACTAGATGACCCTGGGGTTAGCAGCCTGATTCATAACCACTACACTACCAGAGCTCCTTCCATGAGATCCTTGGAAGCACGGTGCGGGCAGTTCTACTGTGTCCTAAGGGGTCACTATGAGTCCAAGTTGACTAGATGGTGCTGGGCTTGGCTTTATACTCAAGTGTGAGTCTCTGGGTGGTGCAAATGATGAAGAGTTCAACAATTCACTGAAAAGTTGGCAGGATGAATGCACCCGAAGACAAGATGTAATCATCTGCTTCTTAGACATCCCAACTTTGAAAACCCTACAGAGGTCTCTCTGCATACACGAGGCCACCATGAGTTGGAATAGACTTGATGGCAAACAACAACAACAACAACTCATCCTTAACGAGGCAGCAGTGGCTAAGTGGTGGTGTGGTGCTCTAGGATAAGCACTGAATTGCTAACTGCAAGGTCAGCAGTCCAAACCCACCAGCTACTCTTGGAAACCCTAAACAGAGTCACTATGAGTTGGAACCTATTGAAAGGCACATGACAACAACAATGCAGAAGATGATCCGGGTTCGATTTCTAGCCAGTGTACCTCATGGGCAGTCAGTGGAGGCTTATATGTTGCTATGATGCTGAGCAGGTTTCAGAAGCACTTCCATGCTGAGATGGAGTAGGAAGAAAGATCTGAGATCTACCTCCAAAACTCAGTCCAATCTGTAACCGATTACAAAGTTGTGCAAAAGACTTTCCTGTAGTCTGGACCCCTACCACCGGCAGAGCTGTGGCCCTGGACAGAGTTGCCCAGGACAGGAATATCCTTGGCTCATGGTCTCTCAACTACAGGATGGTGGAAGCAAGTTGGCTTCTCTTCTATCTGCCTCCTCTCCTACTCCACTGTTGGGCGTTTTAATGCTCAAAGTAGCACGAAGAATAATGTGCATGAAAGTGCCTAAGATTATCTTTCAACAACTCCAGCCAGCTCCCAGGATTTTTACCACCTTATTTGTATAAGAAAGCAGGAAACAGCAAGCTGGCAGTTGCCAATACTAAATCACCTGATATATAAAGATATTTAAAAGCGGAGGACATCATTACAGGGGAGTTGGTGCTTCCAGAGAATTCAATAATTGAGTATTACTGCCGGAGCCTGAATATCCAGCTTACTTCCATCCAAATCCTCTTTATCCTGACCTTGATTTGGCTGAAAACTGAGTTGACGAAAAGGAAGGAGCAAACACGGGGAACTGGGGTCAGATAAACCCAGTGAGTCAGATAAGGAAACTTCTCTGTGTGACAAAAATCTACCCAGAGATTTGTACAACATCCTTGTAATGTGCTTAAGCCACTGGTCAGTACTCCAGAGCCATTCCTCTGTACTGTTCATCTGATCTACGCCAGTGGAGGAGAGAGCTGGACCCGGTCCACCCACTGATGAATCCCCAGAGTAAGCTGGTTCCCATCATCTGAGCTGCACCAACAGCCCCATTGTCTCTACACTCTTGTTTATACACACAGCCCCTCGAAATGATATCTAACTTGTAAGGAGATGTGAGGATTTATTAAGTGTCTGTTGAGCACTATGCTTCGGGCTGCAAAAGCTGTGGATAAAAGTAATAATACAAGAAGTAAAACCAAAACACATGGCCTTGAAGAGTCCCTGGGTGGTAAAAATGTACAGTTAAGTGCTCAGCTACTAACCGAAAGGTTGGCAGTTAGAGTCCAACAGAGGTGCCTTAGAGGAGAAGCCTGGCAACCCACTTGTAAAGTTCACAGTCATTGAAAATGCTATGGAGTATACGATTTTACTCTGACACAAAAGGGGCACCCCCGTCATGAGTCTGTATCAATGTACCAGCCAATGGTTGGTGAGAACTTTAACTATCATACTGACCTAGCTCCAACCTGCTAAGATTCTATCGAAAGAGACCAGAAATACCTGTACAAAGGCCAGTGGTCACGGCCCTGAGCTGTTGTTACTGTTATGTGCCATCAGATTGGTTCCAACTCATAGTGACCAGATGCAGAACAGAATGAAACCATGCCTGGTCCTGTACCATCCTCACAGTTGTTACGGTTGAGTCCACTGCTAATGCCACTGTGCCCGTCCATCTCATTGACCCTCCAACCACAGCATCCATCTCATTCTCTGACCTGACCCTCCTTCTTCAGGGACTGGTCCCGTCTGGTAATGTGTCCAAAGAATGAAGAGACCCAGGCTCGCCGTCCTGACTTCTAAGAAGTAATTCTTCCAACACAGATTTGTTTGTTCTTCTGGCAGTCCATGGTACTTTTAATATTCTCCTCCAACACCATAACTCAAATGCATC